TCTCCTGCATCGGCAGGCGGACTCTCAAGCACTGCGCCACCAGGGAAGCCCGCTTCTAGTAATCTTGATTCAAGAAGAGGGGATGACCAATGTTTAAACGTATTTTCATGTACTAGTAGCAGAAGCTACAGCAAAGGTTCTCAAATTTTTTGTTTTCAGACTCTGTTACACTCTTAAAAATCGCTGAGGACCCCAAAGAGTTTTTGTTTATGTGGACTATATCTACTGATATTTACTGCATTAGAAAATTTAAACAAAATTTTAAAATATTAATTAATTCATTAAAAATAGTAATAAGAACCATCATAAATTAATATAAATAACATAGTTCAATAAAAAATAACAATTTTCGAAAACAAAAACCAGTTGAGAAGAATGGCATTAAAGTTTATACAAATCTCCCTATTATCTGGCTGAATAGAAGATAGTTGGGTTCTCAAGTCTGCTTCTGCTTTCACCCTCTTGCCTTAGCTTTTCATTGAAGTATATATAAAAAGTGTCCGGCCTCACATGATATGCAGTTAAAAAAGGAGTATTTTAACAGCCATTTCAAATAATTATGAATATTTCTTCACACTACATAAAATTTTGAGAAGGGATAGTTTCTTAGAGCTGAGTAACAGTGTGAAATCTGAAATCACACAACAAACTTTTTGTGCTGTTAAAGTCCTCTGGTCTATCTTACACTTAGAATGGCTCTTTCACTCAAGCATGATTTTCTAGCGTCATGCACTGTTCATTTGGAAAACAAGAGTTTACTGATTTCACAATACTTAAAAAAACCCAAAACATTCATTAATATAACCACCAATCTCATCAGAAGAGTCTTTAAGCAGTGGGAAGCTGTAAGCTTATGACAGGAGTTTTTCAATTCTAATTTTCACTTGAAGGCTCAAATTTTATCAGTGGCAATAAATGCTGTCAGTTGTTTTCCTGGAAGTGGCGGTTTCACTTCATTCATTTTTGAGAAAATGTCTGCCAAATAGCCAAGGCTAAGTAACTATGGTTTGTTAGTTCATGGTGTTCCATGAAAAAAATTGGATAATTCAGTTTGTGACTGAAACAACTGCATAAGCGGTTTTCCTTAAGGCAAACTTCATACTTAGGTTTATAGCAAAAGTGCTGTATGTCCACCTCCTATTTTCTCATACAGAATCTTAAAAAGATGCGTACTAAGGCTTGGGTTTAATAAAATTGATTTTTTTTATTTTTACTGTTTCATCAATGACATTCTTACATGAAACTCCACACCCTCCACCTTTTTTTTAACTCCAAATAGGTGGCTATGTAAGAGTACAATGACTACTACTATTGCCTTGATTCATACAACTGCAACAGTACTTTTACTCAACATTTTTTAGTATTATTAGCATAAATGTAGTATTATTATGAAAATAGTTTTGACCTTGTGGACCGTGAGGAGGTCACAGACCACACTTTGAGAACCACTATGCTTTAGAAATGTTTGCTTTGTAACTGAGGTAACAGTAATTATAACTGAAATAAGTTAGCTAGAGCATGGGGTTAAACCATGCCCCTATAAGTAAGTAACATATAAGCCTAATCAAACATAGCAATTTTATTTATATATGGCTCTAATACCAGCATAAAAGCATTTCCATTGCATGTCCTTCCTTATTTTCCACATTTCATTATCTCTCTTGCAAGGTTTAAGTGTCTGAACTCAAAGACACAAGCAATGGTGAATTACTTGTACTCCTCCATTTTTCTAATTCTTGGCTCTGAGGCTATTAAGAGTGCTTTAAGTTTAGTCAACTCAGCGCAAAACACGACTTTTATTCATTCTTCTCTCTTGACTCTAGAAGAGATCAGTCGACAAATGTCTGGTTCTTTCACATTCTTTCCTTTCTAGACCAATGCCGCCACCTGAACCCTATTTTACACCTTATCTAATGCAACAGTCTACTAATCAAGCTCTCAACCTCTTTATCTTTCCATGTTCTAATTCAATAACAACAAATAATCACCTTAATCATGTTACATCCTGCTCAAAACTCTTCAATGGGAAAAGGAGAAAAAAATGCCACCACCACTATCACACTTACCTTCTCTATTCGTAATTGCAGGGGAAAGACTACAGAATCTAATAACTTATCATAGGTACCTACTTACCAGCTTGAAATACTCGATGCAGGCCAGGAGACTCTAGCCACATGACCATTTCTTCTGGAAGTGCTTCCACTTGTAGCTTAAGGGAACTGCCCTGATCACCGATCTGATCCTTACCCTTAAGACTTTGATATAAACAAAAACAGCTCTTCCTCAAAGCAAATTAAGCAACTCTGTTCTATAAGATAAAGCCCAAAGGCCAGACAGTTTTTCAAAGTTCTCCATTAAGGCCCCAACCTATCATTATAATCCTTCTGCCACTATTCTCTTCAAGAATAATTTTCCACCCCAAACACTGACCGCTCCCAGAACCCTGCTTCTCACAACTTGATGACCCCGCATGCATTGTCCTCCTGACCAGGAATGTGTTCCTCCTCCTCTACATCTGACCCATGAAGGTCCAGCTTACGCCCCAGCTATTTATAACATGCCAGCCTGCAGGGATCACTGTCTCTCCTCTGAGCTCATATATCATTTACAGCTGTTATTACTCATTTGGTATTACATGATGTATTACATTAAATTGGTTTTTGCCCCTTTTTGCCCCCAAATAACAGCTTGAGGGAAAGGATTAGGAACTACATTAGCCTTTTTTTCCCCAGAAGCTCTCTGAACCGTGTCCTTTTGGGTTTTAAGGAAGCTTCATTACATAGGCATGACTGATTAGGTCACTGGCCATTGGTGTTTGAACTCAAACTATAGCCCGGCTCTCCTCCCCAGAGGTCTGGTGGGGGTTAGGCTGCCAGTTCCAACCCTCTAGTCACCTGGCTGGTTCCCCTGGCAACCAGGTCCCATCCATAGGGGATTCCCAAAAGTTACTTCATTAACATAAACTCAGTAATGGTGGAAAGAGACTTGTTATGAATAACAAAAGACACCTTTCTCATTCTTCACACTCAGGAAATTCAAAAGATTTTAGTTGCTCTGTGTCCAGAATGGAATGAAGACTAAGTATATAATTCATACTATAAATCACAATCATCACAGTGCCTGTGTAAAAGATATACTATTTTTTAAATAGGAAAGTGGTCTGAATACTTACCTGGGTGCAAAATGGAATCATAAGCACAAAGAGGATTAGTGAGTAGCCCAGAGTGGCAGAGGTGGATAGCTACATGCTAATACTTCGTTCTCCTCCTTCCAAAGGGTAGAGTAGTCATTGCGAGGCAGCTGCCCAGCCAGAAACTACAGTTCCCACAATGGATGTGAACAGAAATGATGTCTGTGACTTCCAGGCCAGGGTTTTTAAGAAGCAGGTATGCCTTCTCTACTCTCTGTCTCTAGATGCAGAGGAGGCCAGAAGGATGACAGTAGCAACAAGACAGAAGATGCCTAGGCCCACGGATCAACCACATGGAGAAAAGCTGTCTGCTGTTCAGCAACACTTGCATTGGACTATTACATGGGTGATAAGTGTCTAGTGTATTAAGCCACTGAAATGTTGATGTTTATTTGTTATAGCAGCTAGTATTAAATCTACCAATACACTGAGGGTCACCTAACTAGTTACTGACAGAGCTGAGACCAGAATCCATGTTTTCCGACTCTTCTTACAGTACATCAAACTGTCATCAGATATATATTTATATTTTTAAATTACCTCTGTGGTATTTAGGCAATTTGTTCCCACTTGATTTGTTCTCAGATAAATGCTATTAATCTCCAACAAAGCCTTATCTGCACTTACCATTTACAATCATTTTCAAACAAGCAGAACATGGTTTTCTGGAAAAATAAAGATCACAGTTTTTCAACCTTGACCCATGTTTTATCAGAGCGATTTTCCCAGCATGTAAATCTTCACTTGAACAGTGGAGACCAACAATTTTCATGTTTTTCACCACCACAAGACCAGTTCTCTTCACCTACATTAAGATACAAAATAATAATTTATTTTATAATTTATGTGATTAGTTATAATATCTAATGATCATATCATGGATTATACTTGACTTATTAATAAAATGAAAGTTTTGTTTAGTTCTTCATCTGAACACAGTTTGAACAAAAGCACATTTCTCATTAGGTCCAAAAATTTTTCTGAAAGTTTAATGTTGACTTTCTACCAGAAAATTTCTAAATCTAGGCTTTATTAACCAAACAATTATGCATTTAATTATCATAAATTTACCCTAGTAAAAAATGAATACATTTTAACCTAGTAAAGGGCAATAATGAAGTCGATTTGACTTGTTTCTTAATCTAGTCTAAGACTACTTAGTATTAAGCTTCTAGATAATAAGGAAAAACTTGGAAAACCCTGTGATTTTACACATGGATAAGTGAAGCCCAGAGTTTACATGATTTTCTGAAAGACCCATAGATGGTAAAAGGCAGAACTAAATCAGAGGTCATATTAAGTTTTCAAAAAAAAATTTTTTATTGAAGTATAGTTGATTTACAATGTTGTGTTAATTACTGCTGTAAAGCAAAGTGATTCAGCTATACATATATATACATTCTTTTTTTAAAATATTCTTTTCCATTATGGTTTTTGATAGGATATTGAATATAGTTCTCTGTGATATACAGGGACCTTGTTGTTTATCCATCCTATATACAATAGCTTACATCTACTAAATTTTTAAATATTTTAAATACTGACTAAAATAAAGATAATTCTCAACTTCTTTCTAAAAATTGACTAACAATCTTTAGGACTATGGTAGTCTAGACTAATGTGGTAGGACCCATCTCCTACAAATATATAGATTATTTATAATTTAAAAAATGTTTTAAAATGCATAGTCAAACTCAAAAGAAAGGAAGACATAACCCTCCGGTGTTAGAAAGGAAGACAGAACTCAAAGCATAAGCAGTAAACTGCAGCTATCTCAGCAGTTTCCCACCCACAGTAAGGGACTGGGCTGACTTTGCTTTAAGCCCCAGAGGCTGAGCACTGGCTGGAGTTCTAAAGAGTGGTTACTTTAAACATAAAGTGGCCTAACATACAGATACTAATCAAATAAGCTGCTATAACAATATTAATATCAGATAGAATAGACTAAGGTTAAAAATCAGTTCTACAGGGCTTCCCTGGTGTTGCAGTGGTTGAGAGTCCGCCTGCCGATGCAGGGGACACAGGTTCGTGCCCCGGTCCGGGAGGATCCCACATGCCATGGAGCAGCTGGGCCCGTGAGCCATGGCCGCTGAGCCTGCACGTCCGGAGCCTGTGCTCTGTAACAGGAGAGGTCGCAGCGGTGAGAGGCCCGCGTACCGCAAAAAAAAAAACAAAACATCAGTTCTACATAAGCCACAAAACAGTCTACGCTGTTTTCACAGCAAAAGATCCTGAAGTAAGGAATGTAAACCTAATCCTTGGGCTCATAAGGGATTTTACAATATGAGGGGGACGGGCTGAGAACAGTGTCCATTATTCCCTACTCCCTTTCAAAGGGATTTTATTCTACAGTTATTCCCAATAGGACACATTTGAAATCACTTTAAAGATCAGACCAAAGCTGTATTTACTAAAATAGTCAAGTTTTGGTTTCAATTATGAGTATAAATTTTTGAAACTGTGGAGAATGATACTTTGTGAAATGTGAAGGAACAGAGAAGATTTCATAGAATTCCCTTTCAGAGGTAATCAACCATCTCCTAAACATTCTGGACATTTAAAAGGAACATAAAAATCTTTCCCTTACAAAATATATGTCCAAAAACATAGATTAAATATGAAAGACCTGCCTATACTGGCATTTAAAATAAGTCTTAAATTTACCTTGACTCCTTTTCCCTCCTTATCCCAAAATTTCTTAAGAGCTTTATGTTCCTCAAACATAAAGTATATGTTAGTATCTACTTCTAAATACTTCCAGCAAGCTTTTAAAAAAATCACCACTGATGAGGCCTTATCAAAAGATCTCAGTAGACTAGAGCTCATTTTATTTAAATGAACCAACTGTGACCAATGGAAATAGCTGCAATTAAATGATTTTAGCTTTAGATATTCTAAGTAGTTATGCAGACAGAAATAAAGCCAGAAACCCTGACCATAAAAGACTTTAAAAAAAATTATTCCTAAAAAATGGGAAACATACTCAACAATTTATTTTTTTATTGGAACAATCTTTTAGGCCAAGTTTATCACTTTTTCGCCTAGAGTCCTTTTCACTTCAGAAAATATCTTTTTTTTTTTTTTCCATTTTGTTTCTAGTTAAGGCCAAAATATCAAGTTTGAGACCAAGATTTTTCCATCCCAAACTGAAAACAAAACAAAACAAATAAAAGCCTAAGTTGCATTCCATTTCGATACTTCCACTTACTCCAACTCCCAGAAGACTGAATCTTTGCAGTGAATCACTGTTCTGGATCCTGATTTTGCTTCACTTCACTAACATCTTGGCAAGTGTCTATGTAAAACCCTAGTCACAGAGTTTTACATTAAAACAGGCAAAAGAGGACAGTCTGGTTTGTAAATGAAGTAGTACACTTACTTAAGTGGCGATTCACGACTCTTTTCCCTTTTGCCTTTCTTATCATTAAAAACATCTAACTATTCTAAAATAAATTATTTCTATATTCTTTTGGGCATTTTAGAGACTCACTCTCAGAAATAATCAGGAAATCTGCAGGAATGTACATCAGAATCATCAAGGTAACTTTTTTCAAAATATACATGTCTCAACTTCACACCCAATGAATCAGAATCTCTCTGGAAAACTCAAAAGATTAAAATAGCAAGGAAATACTATGCAATATTAAAAAGAACAAGGTTCATCTTGCCAGGTTTGGGCTTTGATTTTACCCTACTTACAAGCTAGTACGTTAGCCTGTTACTGTTTCATGGATGCTAGCAGAAGACATGAAACTCCTGGGTCAGAAACAAAGGACTTTATGGTTCACAGCACAGCAAGCCATGTGACATTATGTTTGTGATGGTTCCCTTGCCCCCAAGTCCCACAAGGGGTCATGCAGATGGGTCCATATGGATTCCTGGACATGAAGCGGGTTGTGTTACAGGAGAGGAACACTGAGCTCGGGAATCTGTTGTGTTTTATTGCAAATAGTGAGCAAACCTGCTCTATGTCCGAGAGGGAGACATTATCTCAACCCTCAAGGTTGCTTGCGGCAAACACAACTCTTGAGAAATGGCCTAGGTAAAGAACAGTTAGGGCCTTGCATTCTTGGCAAGACCAGCAGGATGTGTTGGAGTTTGAAAGAACATGAAGAGTGTTTCTCAACACATCTATGTAAACTAATATGGGAAGGTGAGAAGAATTAAATTTGAAAAATTTTAAGAAAGAGCAAGATGTAGGAACATATTACAGAATACATAATCCCATCTGTTTTCCCTCACCACCCCCAACCTTTGGAGAGACATGTATAGTCTTGTAAATGTATGATTTTTAGAGGAGGATATAAAAACTCTCTTGGAAGTGGGAATGGGTAACTTGAGTATAAAAGAGACTTTTATTCTACTTTATACCATTCCTTTTGCTTTGTTATTATGAGCCTATGTCTTTTTTTTAAATCATAAAAATTCACCTGTTTTTTGTCAGTAGATACTCTGGCCATCTCTTCATTATCTCCGAAGGGTCCATGCTTTCCTTCCTCCCTTTCCTAATTAAACGCAGATTAAGGGGGGAAAAAAAGATTAGTACATAAGATGTGATTAATTCAATATTTCCTATTTAAAGACTGGTTTCTTTGGCTGTGGCCATTTATTTTTTTCCTCGATGAAACTCTGTATTGACTTCCTGCTTTGTTCAGGTTCAAGTTCAGACTACTCAACCTAGTAAATAAAGCTTTTATAATCTGGCCCCTGAATACTTTTCCAAAATACAGAAGAACTGAAAATAAAATTCTGTAGTTTAAGGTTTCAGAGTTGGGGCAGTTTTGAGCAATGGGAAAGTCCTAGTGTGGCCATGGCTAAGAGGGACAAAAGGGGAATAGAGGTAAATTACCTGGCACTGGGAAGGTGAAGAACTATGTAGCAAGAATATGAACTATGGATTGTGGTAGGCAGAATAATGGTCCCCCAAAGACCTCCCGGTCCCAATCCCTGGAGCCTGTGGCTATGTTATATTACATGGCAAGGTTGCATATGGAATTAAAGTTGCTAATCATCTTGAGATGGGGAGGTTGTCCTGGATTATCTGGGCAATGTAATCACATTACCAGTGTAATCACAAGGGTCCTCAAAGTGAAAGAGGGAGGCAGGAGAGTCAGTGCTAGAGGGATGCAACATGAAAAAGCCTCATCCCGCCATTGCTGGCATTGAAGGTGGAAGAAGAGGTTCACAAGCTAAGGAATGTGGGCAGCTTCTAGAAGCTGGAAAAGGCAAGGAAACAGATACTCCCTGAGAGTCTATAGAAGGAATGCAGCCCTGGCAACATTTTGATTTTAGTCTAGTGAGACCCATTTTGGACTTCTGACCTACAGAACTGTAAGAATATACATTTGTGTTGTTTTAAGCCATGAGCTTTGTTGACACTAATATAGGAATGTCCATAAGTCTCCTCTAAAAGTAAAACTTGAAGTAGAAAGTTTTGAACCAGGGGATAAATTCGTTCATCCATCCATGCAACCAGTTTTTGAACACAAATTTTCTTAGCAGATTTTTCATTTATTAATTCAACAAGTATTTATTGAACCCTTTCTATGTGCCAGCCATAAACCCAGTTGCTCAGGATGCAGCTCTTACAGAGCTTATGATTTACGAACACAGGAAAGTGATTATGAGGTAAGTAGATGACAGAATGAAATAGCAGAATCCTGTGACCCCCGAAGTAGGTGTGATAATGCAATAAATTGAAGAAAGTTTGAAAGTGGGAATGACAAACTCGGTGTATGCTGACCTCTTGGTTTTCTGAAACAAGGGCTGGATGCTAGAAAAGGAGTAACCTCTAAGAAATTTACAAGAAAAGCCATGTCCTGGGAATGAGGTTTCTGTTCAAGTAGAACAGGAAGTGGAGGAAGTGATTATGTTGGTAATGTAATTATGGGGGTGTGGATGGTAGTAGTGGTGATGCTGATTATATGTATGATAATAATAATAATACCTAACATTTACCGAGTGTTGGCCATGTATCAGGCCCTAAATTACCTCATGTAATCTTTACAGAAGTAGCTATGATTATTCCCATTTTGCAGATGAAGAAACTGTGGATAGAGATTAAATATCTCAAACATGGTTACATAACTAATAAATGGGTAAGCAAGGATCTGAGCCCCAAATCCACTGTCTTCACTGTTATCCTATATTACTTATGTTCTGGAAAAGTATGTGAGGTCTTTCAGCATAAAGATAAGGTACAACACCAGAGGACACAATGGGAAGAGCTGGGAGAGAAAGACAAATATGTGATGTGCAGAGAAATATGAGGGAACAATGCAGTTATTCTAATTCTTACTAAAGTAACATTCAGGCAATTTAGGTAAGTCTTACTTAACTGAAATTTAAAACTATAAACCAGTAGGAGAGAGAACTATTTTTAAATGACAGCCATGTTCAACAGTACTCGATTTCTATTTCAAAACTTTTAAGTACTTACTGTTTTTTTCCTCAGAAGTCTCATAAATAGTTTCTCTCCTACTCATTTATCTAGTTTTAGACTGGATTATTAAAAATTCTTACTCTTTATACTCAATATATAACTTGCTGAACAATCCTCAAGGCACACTCATACACTGTAAATATTTGATAACATAGAAAACTCAGTAGTTATATTCTGAAGTGGTTGAAGTTAATAATTCCATAAGACTGGTAAAAATGACAGACAATTTAAACGTCCAATAATAAGGGAATAAACATGTTACATTGCTAAAATGGACTGTTATGCAATCATTAAGAGGACAATAAAATGATAATAAAAACCATAAAATTCCTAGAAGAAAACAGGTGGTAAGCTCCTTGACATAGATTTTGGCAATTTTTTGAATCTGACACCAAGAGCAAAAGCAACAAAAGCAAAAATAAACAACTGGGAATAAAACAAACTAAAAAGCTTCTGCACAGCAAAAGAAGCCATCAAGAAAACGAAAAGGCAACCTACTGAATGGGAGAAAAGATTTGCAAATCACATATCTTACAAAAGGCTAATATCCCAAATATATAAAGAACTCATACAACTCAATAGCAAAAACCCAACAAATCCAATTAAAAAACGGGCAGAAGATCTGAATACACATTTTTCCAAAGAAGATATACAGATGGCCAACAGGTACACAAAAGGATACTCTACATCATTAATCATCAGGGAAATGCAAATCAGAACCACAGTGAGATACCACGTCACACCTGTCAGAATGGCTATTATCAAAAACACTAGAAGTAACAAGTGTTAGGGTTAGGGTGTGCTGAAAAGGGAGCTGTCAGGCACTGTTGGTGAGAGTGTAAGTTGGCGCAGCCACTATGGAGAACAGTATGGAGGGTCCTCTAAAAATTAACAATAGAACTACAATATGATCCAGCAATTTCACTTCTGGGTATTTATCCAAAGAAGATGAAAACACTGACTTGAAGAGACATATGCACTCCCAATGTTCACTGAAGCATCATTTACTTACAAAAGCCAAAATATGAAAACAACCTAAGTGTCCATCAACAGATGGATGGATAAAGAAATTGTGGCATATATATATATATATATATATATATATATATACACACACACACACACACAGTGGAATATTATCTAGTCATAAAACAATGAAATCTTGCCATCTGGAACAACACAAAGGGATCTCAAGAGCATTATGCTAAGTGAAGTAAATCAGACAGAGAAAGACAAATACCATATGATCTCTCTTATATGTGGGATCTAAAAACAAACAAACAAAAACCCCCAAGTTCACAGACACAGAGAATAGAATGGTGGTTGACAAAGATAAGGGTGGGGGTGGGAGAAATTGGTGAACTTTAAAAAAAAAATTTAGTTTAAATAAACTGAATTTAAAAATAAAATAAAATAAAAATAACAAACACATAAAGTACATAGTATATGCCAAGCACTATCTAAGACCTTTACAAATATCAAGTCATTCATTTTTCCATAAAAGTTCCATGTAGTATGTACCAGTAACACTCCATTTTGCAGATGAGGAAGATGACACAGAAAAAGGTAAAGTAACTCACACAAGGTTACACAACTAGTAAGAGATGGAGCCAGGATTTCAACCCAGGCAAGCTAATTGCGAAACCACTGGCTACTCCCAAAGCATTAGACTAAGTTGCCACTCCAGTGTTTATGATATTATTACAGCATGAGGATTTTCCTATGTTAAGTGAAAAGGGCAGGATCCAGAATTAAATGATATCAAATGAGTAAAGGAAATAGAGAAAAAAGATTGAGAAACAACACAAAAATGTTAGTAGTCTCTAGGTGGTGGAATTATGAGGGATTTTTTGTTCTTCTGTCAATTTTATAAGTAATAAACATGGGGCTTCCCTGGTGGTGCAGTGGTTGAGAGTCCGCCTGCCGATGCAGGGGACATGGGTTCGTGCCCTGGTCCGAGAAGATCCCACATGCCGCGGAACGGCTGGGCCCATGAGCCATGGCCGCTAAGCCTGCGCGTCCGGAGCCTGTGCTCCGCAACGGGAGAGGCCACAACAGTGAGAGGCCCGCGTACCGCAAAAAAAAAATAATAATAATAAACATGTATTACTTTCGTAACACATAAAAATATTTTATTTTTAAAAAAACAAAGGTTTGTAAAGTGTCAGAAGCAATGTTTCCAATACAAGTACTTGTGAAATTGCATCTTAGAGTTTCTGTGACTTAATTTGTATAGCAAAAGCAGGATAAATAATTTAAGTGAAACAAATTTATTACTTTACCTTAAAGAACATTTTTCTTCTCTTAATAGGAAAAAGATCTTAATCAACTTTATGAACATCACGTGCAATTAATAGTGGAATTATTTATTTAATTTAATGTGCCTCTCTGCTGAAAAAGAACAGGATGTATTCTTGGTGGGGTGTGTGTGTGTGTGTGTGTGTGTGTGTGTGTGTGTGTTTGTGTGTGTTGTGAATGAATTAAAATGAGTGTGTGTGTGTGTGTTGTGAATGAATTAAAATGAGTGTGTGTGTGTGTGTGTGTGTTGTGAATGAATTAAAATGAGACCAAATCTTGATACTAAAAAAGGTTCTTCAAAATTATTACTCAATTTGTAAAAAGCCCAGCTTTTAATTTATTAATTAATTTATTTATTTTTGCTGTACGCGGGCCTCTCACTGTTGTGGCCTCTCCCATTGCGGAGCACAGGCTCTGGATGCACAGGCTCAGCGGCCACGGCTCACGGGCCTAGCCGCTCCGCCACATGTGGGATCTTCCCGGACCGGGGCATGAACCCGTGTCCCCTGCATCAGCAGGCGGACTCTCAACCACTGCGCCACCAGGGAAGCCCTAATTAATTTATTTTTAACTGAAATATACTTGACATATAACATTGCGCAAAATTAAGGTGTATAATACATTAATTTGATACATTTATATATTGTAATATGATTGCCATTGTAGTGATAATTAGCACCTCTAGGGACTTTGCTGGTGGTCCAGTGGATAAGACTCCACGCTCTCAATGCAGGGGACCCAGTTTCAATCCCTGGTCAAGGAACTAGATCCCACATGCCGCAACTAGGAGTTCGCATGCCACAACCAGCAAGTCCACATGCCGCAACTAAGATCCAGTGCAGCAAAAAAATAAATAAATAACATTAATAATAATTAGCACCTCTCTCTCTTAGCATGTTTGATGATTATAATACAATATTGTTTTCTACATTCACTGCACCGTGCATTAGATCTCCAGGGCTTACTTACTACGCATAAGTTTGTACCCTTAAACAACATCTGTCCCTGTCCCCCCGCCCCACCTCATGGTAACCACCGTTTTACTCTGAGTTTGGCTTTTCTAGATTCTACATATAAGTGAGATCATACAGTACTTGTCTTTCTCTGTCTGACTTATCTCATTTGGCATAATGTGCTCAGAGTCCATTTACAGTGCTGCAAATGGCAGGATGTCTTTCCTTCCCGTGGTTGAATAACACTCCACTGCAAAGCCCAGCTTTTTAAATGCACTTTTAAAAGGCTTAAATCTCTAAACATTTGCTTCTAATTTGTCTCTTCAAGAGACATTTCATCAGAAAAAACCAAAGCAAACCAAAAAAAAGAAACCCAACAGCTTAGAAGTCTTCTACTTTCATAAAATAATACTAAGCTGTTAATAACTAGGAAGAATAAAGGACTTCAAAATCCATGAAGAAAATGAAGAACTTTCTCAAAGCCATTAATAATATGTGGAGCCAGGGTGGAGGTTAAGGGAGTGGTTGAAAAATAGGGAATAAAAATGCATAACATTTTAAATAATGTTTTATTATTATAAAACATTTTACATAGGTATTGGGAGAAAACTACTCCAAGAGATATCATTGTATCATGAAAAGTGAATTCCCTATCTACACACAGACCTTACACCCTTCACAAAAATTAACTCAAAATGCGTCATAACACAACTAGAAGATAACGATAGGAGAAAACCTAGGTGATCTTGAGTATGGCAATGACTTTTTAATTACAACACCAAAGGCATGATGCATGAAAGAAATCAATGATAAGCTGGACTTCATTAAAATTAAAAACTTCTCTGCAAAGGACAATGTCAGGAGAATGAGAAGACAAGTCACAGACTAGAAGAAAATATCATAAAAGACACATCTGATAAAAGACTGTTCTCCAAAATATATAAAGAACTCTTAAAACTCAACAGTAAGAAAACAAACAACCTGATTTTAAAAATGGGCCAAAGACCTTAACAGACACCTGACCAAAGAAAATACAGATGGCAGTCTGAGAGGGTAACTACATATTCTACTTTTAGACTGGAAAGAGAAACTATCATAGCTATGAATTACAAATATCACACTAAACCATGAAGGTATTTTGCAAATTTGAAGTCTTGTCGAGTTTAAGTGTGACCGAAACTAGAGCAATAAAATCAAATTTTAGACCACCGCTTGTCTAAGGGGAAAAACTGTCCAAGAAAACAAATTATACCTGACACTTTTGTCTTTGACTTTTGACTGATGGGAAGAGCTCCATCCAGAGACTCAGCAGAGTGAAAAGGTTGACTTTAGAAAGCCTTGGTATTTCACCTGCAAAAGAGAGGGCAAACACTTTAACATTTTACTAATGATGAAAATAAGAACTAAGCTCAATGCCACTTGGGTGCTGCAGCCTTAGCTCAGCTGTTTTAGCAGGAAGCAGAGAAAAAGGATTCGTGTGCAAGAGAATTAAAGCACCTTCTTATCAGGAGACTGATTTCAACCTCCTTGCCGGCAACGTCTTCCAGCACTTGCCAAAGTTGGGCCTCTTTCACCCAGCAGAAAAAAATAGTACAGCTGATACACGTAGCTATGGGAACACTCCAAAAGAAGTCATGAAAAGTCCTTGCATCTGAGATCATCGTGGAGCAACCTTTACTTTGGACTGTGATGAAGCGTTGCAACAAGGGTAGTGGTTAGAACCCAGACCTAAAAATACGGTGACCTTACAAGGAAAAGCAGTTGAAATATAGGAAAGCGTCGCGTGCGGTTAATTTTGAAATCGAATAAAAAACACAGTTTGGGGAATTTGCTGGCTCGTCGATCCCAGCTCCAGGTCCTGGGAGGAAAAGTAAAGGGGAGTAGTGAGCGCAACTTCAAAAGCCAGTGCAGCCGGGCCAAGCGACTCCGGTGACCGAGGTGGGGACGCGCCCAGGGCGGGGATGGACACCCAGGAGCAGAAACGCAGGCGAAGACGGCCAGGCAGGGAACCCAGAGTGAAACGGCGGGAGACGCACAGAGGAGAGCGAAAGGCGAGTGGCGGGAGGATTCGGGGCACTCACCGGTCATGCTGCCAGTCTGGGTGCTGACTGACCGTCCGGCCCCCTCGTTCTCCAGATTTTGCATCTGCCCTGCTTCTTTCATCGCCAGCCCAGCGGCCTCTGCTGCCCAGGAAACCTCTCGCTGTCCTGCATGATCTTTGCCGCAGCTACCCCACTTGTCGCCTCCTCCCAGCAACTGTATAGCAACGGCCAACTCTGCGCGACCGAATGACGTAGGAGCCCGGCGGCCATTTCCCGGCGCCCTGTGTGACGTCACGGCGAGGCGTGGATGAGGCGACCCAAGTCTGCTCCTCCGGCGGCGACCGTGTGGGTAGGAAACACAACACAATAAGTCATTTGACACTTGTATTTGACTGTGTTCGTAGGTTTTGCTGAAATCTGGTCGCTTGAGGATGTCTTGGCTCGAAGTCCCAAGTTGCGCAGACTCTCAGAGGGTGAGGAGGGCTTCGCATACATGAGAGTTTTGGTCAGAGAGCGAAGGAGAATTGAAATGGAAACCTGCCCAATCTGTCGTGGTCAAGGTCTTGGAGAATTTGGGAGACAAATGGGGTGGGCGCTGGGCGGTCCAGATTGTTGTTATCCTCAAAGATTGGCCAGTCCTGGGGAACTTAGTGCCAGGGACCACCACAGGAACGTTCTGCTTCTTATTAAACACATGAAGACATTAAGAGGTAGAACTGTAGTTGTGGGAAAATTGAAGATAGGAGGAAGTGGCCCCTGGAAAATCTGAGAAGTACCTGGCATTGTGGACTTGTGTCCAGTGCAACTTATTATTTTATAAGTGTCCTAGGCATGACTCAAAATGAAGCTCCTCCCTCCACCAGTGACTCACAGCCTGTTTTCCATCACCAACTTGCGCTATCACAACTTGAAATACTTAAAAATAGTGAGACACAAAAACTTCTCCGAGACTCTGAAAGCAAAAGCCAACATTATGAAAGTACATTATTTTGTAAAGGATTAAAGAGAGAATTTTCAGTGTGGATGGGTATGACTGTGGTTCATTAATTGTCACTTCTGTATAGTATTTCATTGTAGCTATATACCACAATTTATCCATATTTGAGTCAAAAGACATTTGCACTATCTCCAGCTTTTTGCTATTGCAAGCAATATTGCTTTAAACATTTTTGTATATGTTCCTTATGTTCATATGGAAGAGTTTCTTTAGGGACTACACTTAGGAGTAGAATTCTTGAGTTGTTGTTAAGTTTTCCCGATAATGCTGAAAAGTTTTCCAGAGAGATTGGGCCAATTTACATAGCTGTATATCCCCACTAATTCTTGGTATTGTCAAACTTTTAATGTTTACCAATCTAGTTGGCATAAAATGATATCTTGTGGTTGTGATTCCCCCTGATTGCTACTTAGATAGATTGGCTATACATGTGTCCTCTCTATGAAATACCTGTTAACCATTTTCTATTTGGTAGTTATTTCTTATTCATTTGTAAACATTTTTTATACATCCTGGATATTCATTCTCAGTTGGGTATGTGTACGGTAAATATCTTCTCCCCATTTGTCACTTGCTTTTTCACTTAATGATGTTTTTCAGTGCATAGTTATTTTAATGTGCTAAATATACAAATAATTTTCTTAAGTGGGTTTTGTATCTTTTTAAAAAGCATTTTCTACCCAAGGTTATAAATTTTTTTTTATTTTTCTATGTCAGTTATACCTCCATTTTTAAAAAATAACTTTTATATTTCCTCTAAAAGCCATAAGTTTGGGCTTCCCTGGTGGCGCAGTGCTTGAGAGTCCGCCTGCCGTTGCAGGAGACGCGGG